TTATTATATATATATATATATATATATATATATATATATAAAAAATATATTGAAAAATATATATTTATTTTATTTTATATCGCGTATGTTTTATTATTAATAAAATGTCACGATGTTTTAAGCCTCGAATAAAATTCGATAAAAAAAAAATATATATCTAACGGAGAAAATGGAGTGCTAATATTAAAAGATTCTCTCCCCTCTTGTCGCGTTAATCTAAAATCTAATGTTGAACAGAGATACGTCCAATACGAGCAGATTCATTTTATTGTGATATCTGATATCCTGAAAAATACCAAAAATCTTCACTAAAAGAAGGAAAGACGAGGAAGAAAAAAAAAATCACGTTCCTAAATTCTGCTTCTCCTCGTGTTGCTGTTGCTGCGGTTGTCGTTCCTCCGTGCGTTGCTCGACCGCTGTCGGTTGAAACGTGAGCAGAGACTCCCTCGGCGAATACTCGTCCAGAAACTTTTGCAAATCGCAGAGTTTCTTAAACTCGTTTTGAATGTGTTGCATATGCTGCCACCGAAGGTTTTTCAAACGCTTTATGCATTCGGCCGGGGTCTCGTGATGGCTCGACACGTCTTTTGTGAACAATTCGTAGCAATCGCCGCGAAGCGCACGTACTATCTCCACGGAGTATCCTTGCTCTGTTAATTCTCGATTCGAATCTGTGTTCTGAAAGAAGGGGAAAATATTAAAATCGAAAAGAGCAAGGGTATTCGATTCATATTCTTATTCCATTCGTTCGCGAGAGAAGGAACCTTTTGCTGCCCCGTCGAAGTGGCGAATTTCTTGCTGAGAACCCGATCGATTAGACCGATGATGTAACTTTTGGTCGCTCGAAGATTAAAATCAGGATTTAAATCCCCTCCGGCGTACGTGTTCTTCCTATTGGGAATATCTTGTTCCTCGTCCTTGACGGCCAACTCGCAATACGAGCTATCCTCTCTCGTTTCCTCCGTGTTGCTCGTCGACTCTTTTCCAGGGCTGCAAGGCGAATCTTGCCTCGTGGTGGATCGTTGGCACGGTTTACAGATCGGCCTGGCGTTCTCCTCTTCTTTCGGCAACTCTTCCTCCTTCGTATAATCGTTCGTGTCGACCGCCAAACTTTTATGCTTGGGCTATAGAAACATGTCGTTCAATGAAAATTCATTTATAATTGAGAGAAGAGAAAATACTTGCCAATTCTTCCCCGTTGTTTTTCGAAGTTTGCGAGGCGCACCCTTTCAAGATGGAAAGTTTATTCGGCAGAGGGTCGCTTTTCTTCTTCCCTTGCACGTTTCGATTTTCCTCCACGCCTTCCTCCGCATCCATCTTCTTTCTGTTCCCGTGCTTGGACAAGTTGAATCTCAATCTACCCCTTGTGTACAACAGGTCGGCATCTTCGTGGTCGCCCAACTCGCGTTTTGTAAATGATTCACGTTCATAATTCAAATCACGTTCGAAATATTCGAAACGGAATTCGTTTTCGAATTGGATCGTTACCTGATGGTGGTCGTCCCTCATGTAATAGCTCTCCTTCTTGTAACTATTCTTCATCGATCGCGGATATTCGTAACAGATATTGTCGTTCTCACCCGAGTGCAATATATTCTTCATGATCGAGTGCACCTGATCCTGCTCGATCCTGCATTGACGTCGATGAGTATTCGGCTGCCTTTTTCGCGAATGATAATGAGCGTACGCTGATCCGTTACAAGCCGATACCCCGTACAATCTCGGCGACAGAGTGTTGCTCTGCGACTTCTTGAACGTTTGACCCGTTGGATTTGTCAATAAATTCTCGTACTCGTTCAAAACGGCATCCATATTTTTGGAACAACTGGCGAGAAGGGAAATAATGGTTCTAATTTTTTTTCATTAAAAAATAATTGAATAATTAAAAAAAAATTGGTTACTTTGTCCTTCCCATCGAGTACTTCACAGTTTCAGGAGGGCAATGGCAAGAGGGACAGTGTTGCACTTGATCTTTCGTTCTTCTCACGCGTCTCCTTACCAAATCTGGCGGCATCTCGGATCGTGGTTGATTGCATTTTAGGCAACGTTTCAGATCGTGATACGATTCCACTTGTTTCCGTCTTTCTTCGTGATATCTCTGTGTCGGGCAACATTCTTCAGTGTCCTGGAAAAAAAAGTTCGGTTCGTCGCCGAATGGTTAGATTTCCCCGGGCGGAGAAATTAAAAGAGGAAAATAAGGTAGACCTAACCGTTTCTGTATCTTGTCGGTCCATCATCTTGCTGTCAGAATGCTGTCAAAACCTTCCGTGGAATTTGCACCTTCCCACGTCCCGGATAATCCGGATTTCAATAATATCTAATTGACCTTCGTTCATAATAAATTCTGCTTTTCCATTGAAAAAAATTAGCGAAAGGAAAAGGCGAGAAAGTGTAGAGAGGATAAAGGTTGTTGGTTTCGTATATGTTACGAAAGTCACGGATCAAACGTATGCTGGCTAAAAAATTGACTCGCGCAGTTACTTCGAGAAAGAATTAAACGCCGAGGTAGGCGCTGGAGAATAATGGATAAAAGATTAATTTTTAATATTTGCAATATAATAATCGCTGGGAATGAATATAAAGAAATTTTTAGAATGGATGTAATGTCGAGAAATAATTTTTCTTTAAAATAAATCTATATCTCCTACCTTATCACGTGTTCGTGATTATATGTCATCGCAGATTATTTGTTGTACGGGCAATTTGAATAAATATATTATATCACTGCACCATTAGATTCCTATTTCGTTACGTTATACGATCTATAAAATGATAAAAATCTCGCGTGCAATGTTTTTTGTATCGATCGATAAAAAAATCCTTGAAAAAGGTGGCATATCGAGTGAGAAACAATAATCGCGTTTGTTGCAACACTCGCGTGAATATCGTTGAAAAAGGAACTGAGCTACTTGCTACAAAAAAGAACAATGAAGAAAAAATCGGTGACAAAAACACTCGAAACGACATTGGAAAAAAGCGAATATTTCTGCGAGAATGAAATACTGCCGGATCTTCGAGCACGCCAAAGAATTACATCGAGGGAAGAGAAGTCGGCGTATCCAACTATGATTGGCCTGCCATCTATCAATCCAAAATCCGTAATAGGAAAATACTTTGTGGAATACGCGAGTTCCGGAACGTTACACGGTTTGAATCATTTTGTCGCGCCAAATAAACATCCTATTGAGAGGTAAGTAGACATGGACGATATATATATTAACGATCATAATGATTTTTAACAAATGAAATATTCGTTCACAAGATTCTTAATATTGTTGTGCGTTGTTGGAGCTCTGGTGTGCTTGATCGTTTTGTCGAATATTTTCTGGGATCGTTATCAGAATAACGCCACGGTTATCGTAATGGATAATAATCAAGATTCGTTTAAAATTCCACGATGGTCTCTATTCATTTGCATGACTCAGACTATAGATCCAATGAAAATGACGGAAGTGTTTAAAAAGTAAGATCTGTCCTCGTGTATAAGATAAAATCTTTTTTAACATGTTGAATACGTTAGATACGATATTAAAGACACACCAGAGGCAAGAGAGTTCTTCACCTTTCTCGGTACCGTCACTTACGAAAATATGATGGAAACGCCTATTTTCGACAAAGTTCCAGCGAACAAGTGGTTAGAGATCCTTTACGATTTAAAGCAAGATATAGGCTCGAACCTGTTGTCAGAGAAACCTTTTGATCCTTACGAGACTTGGATGGTGACAGAAAAAGGATTGTGTCTCGTGTCAAGAAACGTGTTTGCAGTTTATGCTACGTTGAAGTTGGTATTCCTTTTTTTTTCTTACTAGTAGTAACAACAAATAATTATGTATAATCTTTTATGCAAGCTATTGGAAAAACGATAATTGGACCGCGATTCCTGTACCAGATAATCTCCTGTATTACAATACGTCCATGGACAGTTTAACAGAAAATTTTAATACACCTTACAATGCTACGGTGGGAATACAAATGAATGTTTCTATTCCATCTTGAAAATTATAATATAATTAATAATAATTAATAATTAATAATTATTATATAATAGAAAAATTTAATAAATTAATTTTTTTCTCTTCTCAGTTCACTGTGTCCGATCCTTTCGAATTGATAACGTACGACATTTCTATGATAAAGACACAACCGAAGAAAATTTACAGAAATACAATATTGGCGTCACAGATTCAGACGAAACCTAATGTCCAAGAACTTTCTATTCATCAAAGAAAATGTAAATTTTTCAGCGATGGCGGTTTAAAAACGTGGCCAGTTTATACAAAAAATATGTGCATCATAGAATGCAGAATGAAAGTGATACAAGATAATTGCAATTGCCGTCCCCATTTTGCCAGGCCCATTGGTAAGCCACGTTAAAATCGGCATGACGTTATTAAATATAAATGAAAAATTTTTTAATTTTTGCAGACGGTGTAAACACGTGCAATGCAACGCAACTTCGTTGCATCGGTAATATAAGAAAGAAGCTTTTTCTATACGAATATCCTTTTTTTTGCAAGTGTTTCCCAAACTGTAATGTCGTTTCCTATCAAATCAGAAATATCGGAGAGACTAACATGTATTTATTAAATTTAATTTATATTAGGGTAAAAAGAAAAAAATAAGAAATAAAATAAATAAAATTTGTCAAAATTAAAATTATTTCAGAGATCAAATGGATATAAAAATGAACGCAATAATTATGATTATTGAACTTCCACGAATCATTTATTACCGGTCATTGTTATATGGCTTTACTGATTTACTAAGTATGTATGGAAATATCTTTATTTATTTATTTGTATTTTTTATTTCCTGAAAATATAATAATTCAAAGAAATAAATACAAAATAGGTATGTCAAATTCTATAATTAAAATTAAGTAAAATAATAAAAAAATGATTCCAAATTATAATTCAATCTTATACCAGAAATATAAGGATATATATGTGTGTATATATTAAATTAAAAAGTAAAAAAAGAAAAAATGGTTAATATAAAAAAATCTTTTAAGTCTTTTTCAAAACTTACTTAAATTTACTAATTATTAAACTAATAAAAGTTTTTATTAATGTGTATCTTACATTACAGCTAGTATTGGAGGAGCAGCAGGATTATTTCTGGGAGCTAGTGTATTATCCTTTGTTGAAGTATTCTATTATGGTACCATTCATTTGTGCTTCTATATGAAACGAAATAGAAAATCCAAAAAGACAACCAAAATGTCTAAATTAATATAGAGAGCTTATTTCATTTTTTTCTACTTTATAAGGAAAGGTATCATTGAAAACACACAGGCATGAAATATTTAAAAAATATTGTTTATCATAAACATGTTATCTCTTTTCAATAGGACACGATGTAAAATAAATATCATCACATACATATATAACTGTACACGCGATAAGTCTATGTCGCGTAATGATTGTACATCAATTTACAAAGAGAATTAAGAACAGAATTACAACTTCTGAATGAAAACTTCTTGTTTTGATTGATTTTAACTTTCTTATATCAATCAATGATAAAACAATCAATAATAAGACTAGCTAAAAAGACGCTAAAATATCACTAAACGGAGTTCCAGGTTCTTTTGCTGCTGCTTCAAAAGTTTCCACGAAAGCCTTCTTTTGAGTTTCCTTAGATAACTATTGAAAAGAATATCATTGTTATTAATATCGTAGAATTTATTTATATTTTTATTATAGAATTATATGCACCTTGCGATAAAAATCAGAAGCAGCAATGCATAATATCTTTTTATCCTCGTATTCGTGTTTTCCTATTCTGGATTGAATATAAGGAAATCTGAATAAAAATGCTAAGGAAATTTACGACAAATGAACGGGTTAATGAAAAATTATAAAAAATACGGAAGGATACAATGCTCTTAACCAATGATTCGTAGATGCACTAATAAAAAAACAAGATAAGCACCACGTCGACATTGTAATTGGCAAACTCTGAATAAAGTTTGGTAAGCTAAATACAACCCAGTCTTGGAGAAGTTCCATTTGCGCGCAAGTGCATGCTCTTTCGCAAACCTGTAAAGAATTATTTTATTATTTTAAATTGTTCACAATTATAAACTTATGTTTTCATGATTATTAATTTATTTTATTACGTCGATACGTATTATTGATCATTAATGATACAAACCTTAAATACAACAGCGGAAAGTAATCGTGGATGAGGTTGTTGCGGCGATAAAAATTCCCCTATAACTTTAGTTAAAATTTCTAAAGGTGGAAAGAAATCAGCAAGCACGCCGGATAAGACTGTACATAAAAGTTCCACTTCCATAGAATGTCCCCTTCTAATTTTATCGAAAATTGCGGAAGTACGTTCTATAGATCGAACTAGTGTTTCCGGTTCAATATCTGGTAATGGTTCCTCTGTTTTTAATTGATTCAATCTATCGGATGATTCCGTATACATGCAAGTCAATAATAATTGCAAGGCGGGTAACGATAACATAGGACTAGGCTGTTTTAAACGATCGATCGCAACTTTTACTATTTGCTCGGCAACCTTTCCAATCACACTTTTCGTTGCTACGAGTCGTTCGAGTCCCTATATCGATTATGTGAAAACAAAATTATATAAAAAATTAACGTATAAGCGATACATGCGTTTTAAAAAATTAGTATTTACACGAGCACACATTAATATACCTGCAAAAGGGTTTGATGCAAACTATAAGAAATATTTTGCGATGTAAGTAAAGTGAGAACTAATTCTAACACGGCTGGTGCTTCCGTATCTGGTGGAGTATCTTCTGCGTGCTCTAATAAAAAGAACACCAGAGCCCACATCACACCTTGATGCTCTTCGCTTTGACTCAACACACTGAATTAAATAAGCAATTAATTTCGGCAAAAAAAAAAAGGAAAAAAAAAATACATATAAATCAGAATAGAAAGGGATAAAAATTATTTGTCTTACCCGCTCAAATCTTGCGCGTCAAGATGTTTCTGTATATATTCTATCGCTAACGGATGTATAATATTCATCGTCTCCTCGCAATTTGCAAGCACAGCGCTTTGTAACAGGTACAACGAGCCATGAAGGGCGGATACTTTTGCAGGTAAGAAGTTCGATTTGAGATTTGCATCTACTAAACGCTTCACTTTATCCAACGTTTCAAAATCCTTAAAAGCATATAATACATACAACAAATGAAAAAGAAATAAAATAGTGAAAAATTATTATCGTATCAGTAATTATATTATGGCCAAAAAAAAAATAAAGAAATTTGGAATACATACCAATGGTGTTAATACTGCAGCAGCTTTACAAACGGAAATTACTAAGTATTGATGTAAAATATCATTCTCTGCAGGATGGATTCTGGAGATTTCCAAACACATGTCCAACATCCATTGATACTGAGCTCTTTCGACGAACAACTCCGAAATTGCTAGAATAGACTTGACAGTCTCCGTAAGCAATTGTATAGGTGTATTAGCTTGCGGAGACATCCAAGATGTATAAAGTTCTATTAAGAAACGAAGACAGGAATCTAAATCGAGCGACGCTGACATTAACGCATCGTTCCTCCTATTCTTTAAGTTAAGAACAGAGGCGTTCAATTTGTCTTCATACAAGTTACATAAGGACCACAAGTAAGAAACGGAAAGTTGACTGTACGTATACTTGCTCAAATTCGCAACCCTTTCCACGTTTCCCCGATGGAAGATGTGGTCCATGTTTAAGCCATAGTTAACCTCCAAATCGTTCATACACTCGTATTTCCACGTGAGTAAATCTTGAATCGCGTATAACTTTTGTGAGCTAATTTTATGAACCGAAAGCTGAGGATCCCTCGGATGATGAATCACGGAACTGGCCTTTGGATTGCCTGGATAAGGAAGAAGCAAAGTATGCAACAGCAATTTCGTTATCGCTTGTACGGCCAAGGTACTCGCTTGAATTAACGTAGGAATTTCTTCTCTTGATACATTTTCATTTTGTGACAGATTGAGCACACCCAGCAGAGCCATCCATATTTCCTCGAATTGTAATCGGGAAATCCAGCCCAACAGATTTATCCTGTAAATAAATTGCTCCAAGATTTCCACCTCCTGGAGAAGATTCGATTCCGAGGGTAATAACGGAAAGTGACATTTAGTTGGACCGGAACCGACAACGTTCCAATTTTGCTTCCAAACCAATGGCGGAGTTAGAATATAAGAATTTACCAGCGGTTGGCGGCTAATGCTTACGATTAAATCTTGTATCGTGTCGAACATATAACGTGGAATATTTGTCGATGATTGCTCGTTTTGGCATCGTTCCAACCAAGCGATGAGATTAGCCATCCGTGTGCAAGCATGGGCGAAATCTTTAGTATCCTCATCTTCCAGCGCTGGATCTAAAGCACGTGTATCTATAACTGGTAAGGCGTCGAGTGTCGTTAGCAAATATTCTACTATCCTTGTTAATGAAGCAGCACCGCTACAAACCCACGAATACCTTGTGTTTTCCCCAAAAACTTTATTAGGGCCAGGATGTTTTAAAATCTCAGATGCGCAACTCAACGCGAGCTCCATATTCCTTGGTTTCAATTTTTTCACCTTTTTCTCGTCACAATGTACCATCCAGTACGTTAATTCTAGGCAGAGAACTGCAAATTTGGCTAAATCTTCTTCAGATTTTTTATCGATTTTCGCTAAATTATATTTGGCTAATTTTGACAACGTTTTCATATATATCTTTACAGCTGGTATTAACATAAAAAGTACATCCCAATATACCGACTCGTTTAGAAGTTCGTTCAATCGAATCGCATACTTCAACTCCCTTGAATTGTTATTCGATTGTGTTGGATTGTAAATATAATGCGGTTTAGGCATTAAATCGATGACGTAATGAATATGTTCCAATAAGCATTGTTTGGCGGCACTATACAATGGACTAGTTTCAAAATTAAAATCTTTCTCGTTTTGTGCTACACCAAATTCTAATTTTTGGCACTTCTCTACGCTCGTTCGTACGCCTAATATTATGCATGGCTTCAATATCGCGATATTGAACTCTTTGGAAGACAAAATACCAAGACAATCTTCAAAATCCAAAACTTTTAATAATTGCGCTGCTTCTGACAGGTTATAATTAATATTTGAATTGCAACATCGTAATTTTACCTGTGACAAAAACCAATTACGATCCAATTGAATACTTTTCACGGTGGATGGATTAAACGGTCTACATTGATCAAGTTCTAGAGGGGACAAATCGTAGTATTGTACTCCTAATTTGTTTAATAAACTAACTAGTCCGCCATGTTTCTTCGCAAGCTTGGTCATTTGAAGTGTCTCCATAATTTTGGTAAAATCATCTTTCGACAATTGTTTCATCACATCCGCTGCAGGCATAGTCAATAAAATTTCTACTCTTCGACTAGCTATTTTCGCTGCCATCCTTGACAATGCAAGATATTTAGTCGATAATAATCTCGGTATCAATGTCATTAAAACAGCTCCGCTCTGCGAATGATGAGCACCTTCTATACATTGTAAAAGTCGTTTGACGAAACTAGGTGGTGACAAATCTGTGCATTTGGTTGCAATTGCTTGTACTAATAATCCACTAGCTGCAGGATTTCTATGTATAGCTGTTGTCAACAGATCTCTGACAGGTGATTCAATAGCGTTATTTACTGTCTCCTCTGTATGATTAACTAATAACCATGTCAGAGGTTCTGCATCGCACAAAGTTTCGCACACGTAATCGCAAAACAATATAATACCACCTTTTCTAATGATTTGAATATTAATGCTACTGTCATAGTTTATATTTTTCTCTTCACTCGGAGGGCAGTGTACGACAGTGTATTCCGCTCTGCGGGTGCCCAATATCTTTGACCAAAAGGTCATTTCATTATAGCCTAATAAAGTCATTAAATAAGCCCATTGGCAAGTTAATGTTGGACACTTGTTTCCAATGTTTAACATCAAGAAATTTAGATCAGTAATTGGTAGCTTTTCTTCTTCAAGAACATTTCGACCTTGAATCATTTGTATTACAGCATTTGCAACTTTACAATGACTTCCAGACTCGAACATATGAATACATAATTGCAGGAAGAATGCGAATTGATGGATTAAATAGTAATCATTTTCTATTGATTCCGAAAATGCAACGTATGGATCACTAAGATTAGGATTTAATAATCCAAGAAGATTATAAACTTTACAACCTACTAAGTTAATAACGTTAAAAATAAATCTAGCTAATATCCTTTCAGGTGGTACTTTGACAAGTTGGCTGTCTAAAACATTTAGAGGATCTGTAGTTCGAGAAGTTTTTGTGTGAAGAAAGGATTGTGATAACTCTGAAAAATTTATACTCAAATCGGAAAGCCGCGCAAGCATTGCTTCTTCCTTTGAGCATGCTATCAAAGATAATAAAACAACGTTTACTACCCCTAACCATCGTTTTAATCTCAAACTTGAAGTATCTAAAGAATCGGGTCTAGCAAAAAGTACTTTTAAAAGAGGATCAACTGGTCTAAAAACCGTGGGAGAAATAGCTGCAAACAATTTAACCATAGCTACATGTGCTTTCTCCGATTCTATTCGAATTTTTCCGGCTGCTAACATAGGAAGAACAGAATCCATTGTCAATCTAGACCATCTTCTCCATTTTTCTTCTCCATTACCATCTCCACTGAATCTAGATTCCGTTAAACATAATGCTAAAAGTTCGATAATTTGGTAATACTCCACAAGACGTAAAAGCATTGAATTAAAACTTCTCTTGTGGTCTCAAGCTCTCTTTGCTCTACTGGATTCAAACTTGCATTTCTAATTAAAAACACATCTTCTACAACCGGAGCGAGAGCCGGTATACAATATGTAAGAGCTGGTTGTCCACTTGCCATAAGTCCATCGCATAATTGAATTATCTTTGGAAT